CATGGGGGTGAGTAGAAAATGAAGGCTAATCATGTTTTGGGTGTACTATTCCTTTAACTGATAAACAGGAGTAAAAAGCTTAAGCCAGATTAAAATCTTGTATATTTACAGTATGATCATTTCTTACTGTTTGCACCATCTCTCTGGATCAGGGTTGCCCAAGTCCAGTCCTTAAGAGCTACCATTCTTCAACTTTTGTTTCTTCTCCAGCCCACTTAAATCTCAGCATGTAATTTAGCTTAGCACAGCCTGGTAATAAGTCACCCATTTGATTCAGGTGTGTTGGAGAAAATATGCATCTAGAAGTTGAATGATGGTAGCTCTTGTAGGCTAGACTTGGGTACCTCTGCTCTAGATAATCCAGGGTGTCTTGTGGTGTCTTCTATTCCACTCCACTGTTCTAGGATTTATGTCTAGATACTGAAATTAGCACAGATATAATTTAGCCTTTGATTCTGGTGAAAGATTTCTGCCCCAATCTGGTCATAAGCCTGGATAAACACGAAGTTAAAAGATTCAAAGACCCAAACAAATAAAATAATGTGTCACTGACTAGGCAGGAGGTCCCAGTCTGTGACAAGCAGAGACAATCCCTGTTCCTAAAGTCAGCAGGCCTAAAGCGGCGAATGATTTTTGACAAGTCACCCTCACGTCTCTTTTGATGAAATCATTGGAGAAAATTACTTCTAGGGGGGAATGCATTTTCACTTCACCTCATGCAATTTGCTTAAAAGCTCCATGGAGATGTTGAAGATGCAACACTTACCCTGGCAAAGGGTAAGTTTTTATTTAAAAATCTGGAACGGGAGTTTGAATTTTATTGATTTTTTATCAGCTTTCAACTCCAGCTGACCTCACATTCCAGCCATGAGGCTTAATGAGCCCTTGTAGCTAAACCAAAATCTGCTGGGCTTTGGCATTTTATTTGAATCGCTATGTTCCTCTACTGAGTTACCTCAGGGATGTTTTCTCTCTGTTACTTTTTATCCTTTAAAAAGATATTTGCAAGAGTTTCTATGAAAACAAACATATTATAAAATTAGTAGACATTAAAATAATTGCAAGTTTATTGCACAACAGTGAATCCAGCCATGGTCCACTTTGGAGGATTTTATCATTTGGTGCAATCTTTCAATCTAACCAGATGCACCTGATATAACATCCAAAACAAAGGACATGATCATACATTTTAGAATGCAGACTGCAAGCCATTATCCCACAGCTATTGATGGCCAATCTGCGGACATTCGCATGTATGTTGGGATGCATTGCAAACTGATTTAACAAGACCTGTGATGCAGTTTGGAAGAGGAGACATCAGTGATGCTATAACATTGACATAACTATACTAATCGTATTTACAACTTATAATGCCTTTTTGAAGCTTATCTTTTGCCTTAGTGTCTCGGTTTAGTGGTTCC